CTTTCTGGCTGCAACCTAATATCTTTTCGGCTGGTTCCGTATGAAATCATTATTCTTGATTTATTGGGGTACATTTTATCATAGATTTTTTGGTTTATTCGTTTACTGGTTGCTTAATTTCGTCTGAATTTTTAGTTTGTGAACTTCGAATTTTCATCTGCTAATAGCCCTGGCGGAGCAGAAATGTTTGCTCATCCATGTTTTTCTAGAGTTAAGCCGTTCAGGAGGGGGGGGGGGGCAAACACGCATGTGCTTATGCTGTTGCTTGCTCCAAATAAACAAGTTTCATTATCAGGTGCATTGACACGTTTGACCACCACTGTCCCTGGGTTCACAACTGTGTTGGTCGGCGGAATTATCGCTATTTCTTCTTATTCCTATTTTTCCTCAGCTTGCACATGATATGTGTCTTCTCGCTAGCACTTAGCTATACCATTCTCAACAGGTCAGTTCTGCTTTTTATCACTGAAACTAGAAATGCTGGTTGCCGCTACAGTTTTCACTTCTCCTGTGCTTTTTGTTTTTAAATAAATCTTTAGGAAACAACGTAAATGAAACATTTCAAAAAAAAAAAAATAATTTTAACGCGTTTGTTATTTTTTCATTGTTATTTCTCCGTTATCTATGAACAGCAACATCTACCTGGTTACGGCGAGACTTCGACAGGTACACCAAACTGAAGTTTTGCCCGGTAAATTGCAAAATTTTAAATTAAAGCTTGTCTTGCAATGTATTTTTTCCGGTCGCTATAGGACCGATCTGCTAACAAGGCCAAATATGTGTTCGATTGTTTTGATGGCGCTTTGTGTTTTACTGGCTGTGCCCGTTATTGGTTTAACTGGTTTCCATGTTGTTTTGGTCGTTCGTGGTCGCACAACCAACGAACAGGTAGATGTGTTCTTGCTCTATCATTGTTTTGATCATGTGAACACTTGGAGCCGATAGTTGAGAGGCATTTTTTCATCGAAATCCCAGCACTGCTGCATCACTCGATTTCCGTCAGCTTTTTCATTTAGCCATTTGTGCTAGAGATGTGTGATTACACGAAAGTGCTGATTATTTACCAACTCTGTTTTATTCGGCTGAGAAATAACGTTGTCACAGTAAGCTACGACGAAACAACATCTGAATAATGTGTTCCGTGGCACAGATGAGCCACATAATGATGTGCAAACACAGTGAGAGCGCTTTTTCCAACTTATAAGCTGAGCAGTAAATTTTATGAATATTGTTTTAGGTAACGGGAAAGTTTCGCTCGGGATACAATCCATTTACCGTTGGT